CACACACACACACACACACACACACACACACACACACACACACACACACACACACACACACACACACACACTAATTCTGTGTGTGTGTGCCTGTTTGTGTGCGCGCGCATGCGTAAATGTGTGCACGCGTGTGCATGTGCGTGTGTGTATGTGTGCGTACATGCGTATGTGTGAGTTTGTGCATGTGTGTGTATGTGTGCGTGCGTATGCATGTGAATGTTTGTGCATGTGCGCGTGTGTGTGTGTGTGTGTGTGTGTGTGTGTGCATGTGTGTGCGTGCGTGCGTGCGTGCGTGTGCATGTGCATGTGCATGTTATAAAAGCCTTATAATAAAAAGCAGCTCTGCTGAGGGATGTTGACGCAGCGACTTCAGCCTAATGAAAGTTTTATATGTTGCTGCTTAAATAAAGAAAAGGCCTTTGTTTGAGTTCAGGAACGTATCATAAAACAGTGAGCTAACGGCTCTGTGAGGCTTTAACAGAAGAACCAGCAGGATTTAGAATTACACTGCTCAAAAAATAAAGGAAACACAAAAGTAACATCTGAATGAATGAAATATTCTAATGAAATACGTTGTTCTTACACAGTTGAATGTGCTACAACACTAACCCTTACCACACAAAACTTATCAACGGAATCCTTAACCCATGGAGGTCTGGATTTGGAGTCAAACCTAACATTAAAGTGGAAAAACACACAACAGACGAATCCAATTGTGATGTAATGTCCTTAAAACAAGTAGTGTGTGTGGCCTCTATGTGCCTGTGAGACCTTCCTGTACTACCTGGGCAAGCTCCTGATGAGGTGGCGTATGGTCTCCTGAGAGATCTCCCCCCAGACCTGGACTAAAGAATTCACCAATACTGGACAGTCTGTGGTACAATATGGCATTGGTGGATGGAGCGAGACATGATTATCAATGCATTCGTCTTGCAAGAACCACGTCAGTACTGACACACTACGGCCACACGAGGTCCAGCATTGTATTGTAGTAGGAGGATCCCAGGGCCAAACACACCAGCATACAGTGCTCAGCATAAATGAGTATACCCCTTTAAAAAAATACAACTTTAATCAGCAGCTCAATGAACAAAATAACAATTTCCAGAATTTTCACAAGTCTGGGTTTTATTGAACATGTTTAACTCCATAACATGAAAATAAGGTTAATAATAGAACTTAGATCACAAAAGCTTCAGTTTTACTAAGATAGGTTGAAGCAAAAATGAATCCACCTACAACAAAAAATACAGGGTGGGCCATTTCTATGGATACACCTTCATTAAATGGGAATGGTTGGTGATATTAACGTCCTGTTTGTGGCACATCGGTATATGTGAGGGGGCAAACTTTTCAAGATGGGTAGTGACCATAGTGGCCATTTTGAAGTTGGCCATCTTGGATCCAACTTTTGTTTTCTCAATAGGAAGAGGGTCATGTGACACATCAAACTTATTGGGAATTTCACAAGAAAAACAATGGTTTGCTTGGTTTGAACATAACTTTATTCTTTCATGAGGTATTTACAAGTTTCTGACCATTTATAAATTTTGTTAAATGTGCTGCCCATTGTGTTGGACTATCAATGCAACCCTCTTCTCCCACTCTTCACACACTGATGTGCCACAAACAGGATATTATCACCCGGCAATCCCATTTTATTAAGGTGTATCCATATAAATGGCCCACCCTGTACCACATCTAGTATTTTGTACGACCACAATGATTTTTAAGGACAGCACCAAGTCTTCTAGGCATAGAATAAACAAGGTGGTGGCATACTGCATCACCTTTCTTTTTCCATTCTTCAAGAAGAACCTCTTTTAGAGCCTGGATGTTGGATGGAGACTGATGCTCAACCTGCTGCTTCAGACTTCCCCACAGGTGTTGGATTGGGTTCAGATCAGGAGACATACTTGGTCATTCAATCACGTTCACCCTGTTCTTCTGCAGAAATGCAACAGTAGCTTTAGATGTGTGTTTTGGATACTTGTTGTGTTGGAAAAGTGCACGACGACCACGTGCACCGAGTGATGGAAGCATCTTCTCCATCAGTATAGAGCAGGACATTGTTGAGTTCATGATGCCGTCCCCAACACCAGCAGCACTCATGAAGCCCACATAAGGACACAGTCACCGCAGTGTTTCACTGTAGGCATCATGCTTTTCTCTTTAAAAACTATATGGTGTCGTAAAGGTGAGGATTTCAAACCATTAGTTCCAAAAACAGGGATCTTTGTCTCATCACTTCAGAGTAAAGAGTCCCAGTAGTCTTCACCTCTTTAATCCAAAGCAAATCCTAGGTGTGCTTTTTCGTGCGTGGGCTTTAGGAGAGGCAAAGATTCTGAGAAATATAGTGGGGTGTATTCGTTTACTCTGAGCACTGTATGGTCTCTGCCACCTCTGGTGAGCACATGGAAGGCTGTGTGGCCCCCAAAGGGATTGCCAACCCACACCACTGCCAAACGGGTCATGTTCGAGGATGTTGCACACAGCAGAAGGTTCTCCACGGCATCTCCAGACTCTGTCATATGTGCTGTGTGAACCTGCCTTCATCTGTGAAGAACGCAGGGTGCCAGTGGCAAATTTGCCAATCTTGGTGTTCTCTGGCAAATGCCAAACGTCCTGCACGTTGTTGGGCTGTAAACACAACCCTCATCTGTGGACATCAGGCCCTCCTAGCACCCTCATGGAGTCGGTTTCTGACCGTTTGAGCAGACACATTAACATTTGTGGCCTGCTGGAGGTCATTTTGCAGGATTTTGTCTGGGCTTCTCCCTGTTCTTCCTTGCAAAATACCTGAGATAGCCGTGAGAAATGGTCACCACCTACAAAACCACTCTTATTTTTCAAGCAGCTGGTGTGTGGAGTTTTCGCGTTACCTTTTTGATGCACTTGAGCTCATTTAGCTCCAATATCTACTCTACATTATGTGGCGCTAAGGAGTCAAATATTTTTAAACACTGGGATTTTAACATATGGAAGGTCATCTGTACCAATAAAACTCAGACAAAAAGGAATAAATGATGTTTTATGCAAGAGAACCAAAAATGGAAGTTTTTTTTCCAGAACTAGTCACCCACCCAGAGATAATAAAACATTATGAGTCACCTTAATGACTTTTAAAAAATAAACATGATTAATGCGTTAGATTGTAGGCTATAAATGAGGCTATAAATGACTTATGTATCAAAACACCACAAAAGTGCTTAAAGTACAAAGCTTAAGATAAAGTTTTTACTGTATTTCACTAATGTTGTTATGCATCAGACAAACAATTAGGAATTATTTTAAAAACGCTCAAAATTAGCTTGCTTAATGATGATAATAATAATAATAATAATAATAATAATAATAATAATGAGGAGGAGGAGGATACAAGTGGAACTCTAAAGTGTAGCACCCAAACCGTTAATGGGGAGACTCGTCGTGTTCGGTTTTACACTCCTGTTCAACAGGTGGCAATAACGAGCTATTACTTTTGTTTTTTTAATGAAAAGAAAAATATTTACATAATTATTCACCAGAAATTAATTGCAACAATTGTTACCTGAACGATAACCACCACCATGGACACGAAATACTAGGGATGTACATAGCTTTTCGTTTAATTGCTGTTAATGTCGTAACCCGGTGAAAAAGTTTTGCCTAGGTCACGCCCTTGTACAGCACGTGGGTGTAATATATTTTGTGCCACTAGGGGGCAAGACACCACTATCAAAATACAGAAGAAATTAGATACTACAAGAAGATACTACAGAAGAAGAGGTGAGCTTGTCACATGATCAAATAAATTTACACAAAGACGAGGCTGTTAAAGAGCACAGCGTGGGAGCGTTTTTGTTTTGGTATAGTTAACATGATGAGACCAGCATCGAAGCGCTGAGCCCAGGAGAACGTGGAAATGAAACCGTGCAGCAAAATGAACAGAGACCAGCAACAGGCCAGTCTGCCATGACGCTTTTGTAATTGATTTACTAAAATAAAGAAATATCAGTGTCATTATTTAGCTCAGTGTAAGGAAAATGAAGTGTTTCTTTAAAAAGCCTGGCCACCCAGAACGCGCTTACCAGATTCAGAAGGGTTTTATCGCCATATGTGCGAAATCACAACATTAGGAAACTGCTGCGGTACTTGGTGCAAGAAAACAAACGATGAGCAAAATTAGAATGAAGAAATAAACACAATGAAATGATAATACATGGAGACAATAATTAGAGAAGCAGCTACTTTTTCCGGTGTAGGTAAAGGTCAGCGCGGGTCAGTTCAGGTACAAACACAACACAGGGAGAATACACACGTCACTTTGGGTGTAATTGAATGCTTAAAATTCTGAATAATTAATGAGCATCAAAGCCACATCGGAGCTAGCGCTGGGGGATAGCTCCGGGGAGAGACCTCAGTCTCACGTTAATAAATGTTCGGCCATTTCGACTCTGAAGTTTTGTTGTGTCCTCTGCGCTCGCGTTTGGATGTTAATCATGGAATAATTTGGACAAAAATGGCAAGCTGCGGTATCGACTATACTAACAGATCATCTAAGCAAGTAGTAAAATTAAAGCAGTAGCTCAGGAGGTTGAGCGGGTTGTCCAGTAAATCGGTAGGTTGCAGGTTCAATCCTGGCTCCGACCAGAGAATGCTGCTGTTGTGTCCTTGGGCAAGAACCCACCTTGCCTGCTGGTGGTGGTCGGAGGTACCGGTGGCGACAGTGTTCAGCAGGCCTCGCCTCTGTCAGTGCACGCCAGGACAGCTGTGGCTACATCATAGCTCATCACCACCAGCATGTGAATGGGTGAATGACTGATTGTGTTGTGAAGCGCCTTGGGGGGGTTGTAGAACCCTTAGAAGGCATTACAGTATACAAATACAGGCCATTTACCACATGCACGTATAATTGCATGTTGCCCAGTAGCGCACCGGAGTGGAACACACTTCCTTTGAGAGATTGACAGTGAGGTACAAAAACAGGAAATGAGCCCAAAAATGAGTTTTTTTCTTACCTGTTCCGCATTCACACCTGTTGAACTCAGAGGACCTGAAGCGCCTCAGTCTCCTACCAAAAAACACAAAGGAGACAACTGTTACTCATTTAGGTTTGGTTCCATTCTCATGTGTTTGTGGTTTAAAACCAACAAACATGCTGCAGAAACACGGACGAGGTGTGAGGCTCTTTCGAGTCACAATCTTTATTTTTGATTTGAAAAAGAACAAATTCAGCTATAATCAAATAGAACGATCATATTCCCAACAGGTGTTTTTACCTATCCATCTATAAGTGTTACCAGAAACCTTGCAGATGAGGAGTTTAAACAGAAGTATCGCTAATATTAATATTTCAAACAGCCACGTGTGGAGTTTTCATTGCCCGATGGCAGGAAGTCACCATCAGAAGCATCAGCGAGAGGAGCTGAGAGGTAGAGGCTGGTACTTGACAAAGTCCACATTTACACATAGGTTCAAAGTGCACTTAAAGCAGGAAACATTCAGCCTCCAACTGTGACTCAGCCCAATCAGGCTCTAGAGGTCCATGAAATCCGGACCAAACTCATCAACCGCCTCCACTTCTAATCAGCCACGAGTCAGAACACTTGACTCCACGGCCCGATGGGATGATCCAGTTTAAATACTCCAGTTAGCTCCACCGCTAACCCTGACTCACAATCAAAGCTTCATATGCCATCATGTGGATGGATGCGTTCAAGAGCACGTAAAACCCAGAGTCATAAAGAGGCAGGTGGGTGAGATGAAGCCGATTTGGGTTTCTTTATGATAGTTTATAGAATAATTCAGTTTAGACGTGGCTTCTCTTCATTGTCCGTGTTTGCTGGGAAATTAGAAAAAAAAACACCAAACTATTTGTCTCCAGGTTTTCCCTTTGTCATCTATTTCACTTTTCCTTATTTCTTCTTAGATTCACTTGTTCCTTTGCTCCCTAACCATTGTACCCCTCATCTTACTCCCTCCTAACCACCAGTCATTCCCATCCTATCATAGTTCCTTCCCTTGATTCCTTTGCCTGGTTCCTTTCCTTGGTTTAAATCTTTCCTGTCTGGTTTCTTAAGAATAATGATATTTAAAATAGTTGTTTACAACATTTTCCCGAGTTTTCAGGAGGTTTTTGATCATTTTGATAAGTTTCAATAGAGGCAGTACAACATGGACACGCACATAAGCACCATTGTAGTTTTTATCCTTCACCTTTATGGGAGAGTACGTTTTGTGCACCGTAAAGGCAAGAGAAACCAAACTCCATCGACTTCTTTCTTACGTTTTTACGAAGTAAAACATCTTTGGGGTTTATGAATCATTTCAGATAAACGTACCATTCTAATTAATGGTTTAAAAGGGGATTCACATGTGGATTACCTGTCAACATCTGGTCATTTGTGAGCTGAATTATTGACTTTAAATATGTTTAGCTTTTTATATTATATTAGCCAAAGAAGCAGATATACGAGACTTTGAGGGTTCTCCAAACAATCTGAGCAGCTGCATGGAGCTCAAACATCACAGATTTATACATTTGCTGCAGGGATTTTCCAAGTTACTGCTCATCTGCTTAATGAAACCAACACTGTTTTAATCTACTTTCCCCACAAAGTCACGTCAATCATTAAAGAAACAGAGGAGGCCGCTGGCTTGACTTTAAACACAATTACTTTTTAACCAACTGGATGTGTTTCATTCTTGCCGCCATCATACCTGTAAATAAAAGCCCCTGTGTATCCCAGCAGCAGCAACGCATCCTTGAGAATTAAACTCAACTCCAGAGTTACAGCTGCTCACTCTTCTGTATAATAGAATCCTGAAAGTTCATTTATAAAGTAAAACCTTTAACCAAAACGAGATCTCACAGCAAAGCAAATTAATCAAAGTTCATTTGTAAAGCACTTTAAATGTTGCCCAAAGCGCTAAAAAAAAAAACAAAAAAAATTATAAAGATAAATACAATTAAATGAAAACAGTCAATTAAAAAGACATAAAATGAGCACAAAAATAAAATCAGACACAAAGAGTCATAGCAAACAGGACCACCCCGTCAGCCTAAGGTGTTAAAAGCTTTGGAGTAAAAATAAGTCTTCAGTAAGTTTTTTAAAACAACAACAGATGATGCCTGTCTAATGGGGACTGGTGTAGGTGCCGCCACTGAGGAAGACCTAAAACCTCTTCTCCGTAGCTCTAGGGACATCGGCCAGCCGATCTCAGTCCACGAGATGGAACATAACGCACGAGAAGCTCAGAGAGATGGACAGGAGCAAGGCCATTTAAACATTTATAAGCCAGAACCGAAATCTTAAATTACACATGGAAAAAGTTGTTACTTTAGAGTTGAGATGCTCTCCAACTACTACTGTTGGAAAATAAAAGCTCTGGTGGTTGGAAATCTAATAAGCGAAGGAGTTAACGTACGCATTCTTGGAATTCCACTCCCCTGCTATATTGACATCTGTATTGAATGACAGAAAGTGGGACTGCGAGTGTGTGGAGACACGATGGCCAAGTGAACATGTGCAACTCCAAAAACGTAAAAAACACAAACTGAAAGAAACTCCAGAAGAACCATGATAAGAGATTCAGGCTAAACGTGCACACGAAAACTTGCGTCAGATTTCTGTAAACACACAAACGCACGCTGCTGACGCTTGGAGGGAGAACGAACACGAGGGCTGTGATGCGAGTTGCAGGTTGATGCACATTTGCTGTCATGATAGTTTAGATTACACTTTGAGTCTTTTAAATCAACTGAAAGATTGCACAGTGGGAAGAGAGGAGCCGTGCAAATCAGTTTTTTATTTTGACAAAGGCCGGAGAGCAGGGTGGCAGCTACGTTTCATCTGCCTTCACCACCTCACACGGCGCCTCTGCTTCATTTAACAGCAATGAGTCTGCCAAGCTGAGGTGAGAAAAACACAATGATGAAATATCAGGAAACAATGTATGTAAAAACAAACTTGCATGGTACTGAAACCAGCAGTCACTAATAAACTGGTTAAACTGGCTATGAATTTTATAGTAATCAACTTTTACATTTATTATAAACTGTTCTTTATAATCAACTTGATCACAAACATCAGCTCGAAAGCCTGAGTCATGCTTCTCCATCAGCTCCAAAAGGGAGAGACACGCACACACGGAGACGTTTTGCTCTCCGTCTCCTGGAGAGTGTTGCAAAGCAATTCCCCGCCAAGACAGCAGAGGGCGTAGCGCTGTTCTGTGGTATCCTGTCATGTACCCGGTCCAAGATAGTGTGCTTATGTTGTGTTTTTTTGTATATGAGACTTTAACACGAACATATTTGTCTCTCATCCTCCTCCACCTCTTCATGCGCTCGCCACCTCTAAACCCACGTTTCCTGTCATTTCCGTCCACAAATAAAACACCTGCTGCTCATCTTTTCACTCCTCCAGTCACGGGGAATTAAACGTTCATGTTTTTAGAGTTTTTCGCGAGGTATTCAAGCTTCTCCGTGTCTGCCGCTAGTTATCCTCGCCTCTCTATGTTTTTGAGGGCGCAATGGCGGCGGTGTAGACGACAGCGATGCCCTGACCAATCACAAGCTTGCGTTCTCCGTTTCGACGGGCAGATGTTTAGAAAAGAGAGCTAGACTCCGTATGTCCTTGCGGGGGCTCTCCAGCAGGTCCGCAAGGACGGATAATGGTGTTGCGTGTCTCCGCGCTGACGCAGACGCAGAAGCATGAATCAGGCTTAACTTGATGCTTTACAGTTCAGGAAGGCTCAGCTTAAAGGGGACACATGCAAATGTTCAGTTTCAGTTAGTTTCATGCCAATCTCTCATGCCAATATGAGCTAATATAAATATGGCATTGTCTCAAAACGTGCCACTCAATGTTTTAGTCTATGATATGGCCTAAAATAAATATCACGATATATTGAGGTTTTCACCTCAATAACGATAAATGGACAATAACTCCAGGTATGAGCAGAGACAAAAGTTGTCCACTAGATGGGGCTGTCAAGTGTATTACGTTGAGTCACATTTTTATGTGACTCATAGTGTGACAGCTTCTTAAATGGACATGAATGTTGCCAACCAACACACATATTTTCCTTTTTTACTATCCACTTCATTGACATGGGAAAAATAATCGATAAGTCACAAATTTCGATAACAATAAATTTTCGATTTATCGCCCAGGCCTAGACTATCATGAATTAATTCTGCTAGACTTTCATCACTACTGTAATGGTTACATCTGAAAGAATCTGACATTGGGAGTTTGTTGGAGGGCATTATTGACTAAAAAGATTAGAAGTCTCAAATCCACCCAATAAAACCAAAGTACGGTGTAAATTTTGGATTTTACCATAGATAAACAAACAATTCAAAACAAGTATAATCCATGTTTGATGCTGAAGTAGAACTTGTTTCGGAGATATACTGATAAACAAGAGAGGACTTTAAGACAATGTCAAGAGCCAAGATTTGAATTAAATAAACTTAAAAACTGTTTTTGATAACAAAGCCATGCACAACTACTAGGAAGCGTGGATCATCCACTGAATCTGCCTGCTGATCCTTTGATTAAGCATCTGGTCAGGACGACCCAATCTTGCAGCGCCTCATGATTCTTGGAGAACCTGAATATTTTACTCCTCTCTTAGGAGGTGAATGTGAAAAAGTAAAACATGTTACATTTAGTCAGTTTCATTTTTAAGGCCACAATTCATTTTACTAAGAATCATTTCAGCTGATTAGAGATTTGCACCTTACTACTGAACATCTAATTTATAGCTACTGAAATTTAAAGATTCGTAATATAAACTGTTGATGCTCTTAAGACTTGGTGTTCTGCTGGTTTTTCATTTAGGGTGAATTACCTTCTCTAATAGAAATAATCAGCCTCTTGTTGTGGATAAAATATAACCAACAAATATAAACCAACTTCCACGCCACGACGAATGAAAAGTTCAAATGTTGTGGGTTTTTATTTATTTTTTTTGCATTTTGGATTTATTGGGAGCAATGACAATAAAAATGTAAATAATTTATTAAAATAAAAACGTTTTAATGTTTTTTTTCATGCAGCTGAT